TAATAATAACCTGCAGCTTCACAGTGAGGCAATAAATTACTTTCTCAGCTCCTCTCTTTAAAGCTGCTGAGTGTTTTGGATCATTATCCTACTGGATGACCTCTGACCCCTGATCACATGTTCTCCAGCAGCAGCTCTGGTCCTTCCACAGGTCTGAGGGGGAACAGCTGCGGCCTTTGACCTCTGCAGGATGGGATGTGCTCCAGTAGTTTTCCTCCGGCAGACCGAGGATCGATAAGCACCACGTGTCGATCCTGGAATGTTACTCGGGTCCAGAACGGTTCTGTTCTGGTTTCCATTGACGGGTCTGCAGCCTCCAGAACCTCCAGAACCTCACATGGGTTCCTGAATTCAGCTCTGTTTCTATGTCTAAACTGTTTGACATGAAAAATTTCTGTTGCTTTTTCTGCATTTTTTTATATTTTTGGTTTTTTTATCTCCTGGTTTTTTATCTTTCTCTTTTTCTCTCCATTTCTCTGAATTTGCATCTTTTATTGCCGTCTTTCGTTCCTTTTCCAGATTTTATTGTTGATTAAAAGCAGAGGCTGTTTATCACAGTGATTTGGTCCTGAACCTGAAGAGGTTCTGGTTCTCCTGGAGCCTGTCGATAGTTTTGGGTTTTAGTTTGGAGTTCTGCTCTTCGCCGCTAAAGGACGAATCTTATTTTTCTCACTGTATTTGGCCTTAAATCGGTTAAAAGTTGAGGCAGCACAATGACTGACGTAGCTAAGAGTGTTTCGGTGAGAGAGGTCAGAGGTCGGCTGCGAGGCCCGTCTCTAGCCAGCACGTTGTCGCCCCAGGTGGTGCGTGCGGCCGAGGAGGCGGCGTCCACGCTGGCCGGGTCCATCCACCCGGAGCAGTGCATCAAGGTGCTGTGCCCCATCGTCCAGACCGCCGACTACCCCATCAACCTGGCCGCCATCAAGATGCAGACCAAGGTCATTGAACGCATCGCCAAGGACTCGCTGCTGCAGCTGCTGCCCGACATCATCCCCGGCCTGCTGCAGGTGGGTTCTGGTTCCGGTTCCGACCCGTTTCCAGCCCTTGGTGGGTTCTTCCATGACGCCCGCACAGCGGCTTATTTGGACAATGGTCATATTTGGACAGTGGGAATTATTTGCCTTATTTGTCCCTGGAAATGTTTGTGTGCACTCTGCTCCGGGTGTGACTCCTCCCACGTTCCTGCTGACCCGCTGTGTGTGTGTGTGTGTGTGTGTGTGTGTGTTTGTGTGTGTGTGCATGTGGGCGTGCCTGATGCTGCGTGTCTCTGCTGCAGGGCTATGACAACACAGAGAGCAGCGTTCGCAAGGCCAGCGTGTTCTGCCTGGTGGCCATCTACGCCGTGATTGGAGAGGAGCTGAAGCCCCACCTGGCACAGCTGACAGGCAGCAAGGTAGCTCACACACACACACACACACACACAGCAACGGCTCTCCCCGTGCTGCTAGCAGACGCTGAGCCTTATCTTCTTCCCATGTTGTTGCTCTTCAGCCGGTTCCAACCGGCTGGACGATAATAAAGTTGTGGCTCCAATTTGTCCAGGTGTCCTTGAGTTGTGAAGGTCAGGCCCACCTGACTGTTCCCCCCGACCACACACACACACACACACACTGGACCCGTCTCAGGTCCAACATCAGGTTCTGCTGGTCTTTCTGGTCCAAGGAAGCACAGTGGTGGAGGGGTGATGATGTGGGCCCACTGCAATATTCTAGAGTCCAGTGTGAATCCATCTCCAGCAGATCTACAACAGAACAGCCTAGTCAAAGTCCAGGCCTCAGCCTGAGTGAAACACTGTGGTGGCCCTTCAGAGAGTTGGACCAAAGATCCTCTGTCAGTGTGAGATGGATCCTCGGTCCTGTTCCTGCAGTGCAGCAGCAACCTGAATGTTTCACCCAATCCGTTCCCAGAGTCTGGTTTATAAAAACACTGTTAGCTTTTCAAGATGGTCATCAAGTAAAATGCATTTTTGAACCAGATTTGCTAATATTTATCCCTGATGAATACATTTGATATCAAAATGGCTGCAGTGGGATCCACCAGGAGACACCAAAACACCAGTGAAAGCTAGGAAGCTAATGCTAACCTGCTAAACCACAGTCAGATCTGTAGAAGGATCCAGACTGCGAACCGGGCCGGTTCTGCTGACGGTTCTGTCTCTGTCTGCAGATGAAGCTTCTGAACCTCTACATCAAGCGGGCCCAGACCACCAACAGCAACAGCAGCAGCTCCTCCGACGTTTCTTCTCACAGTTAATGTGGGACCTGTAGAACCTTCAGAACCTTCTGGACCGAGCAGAACTTCCCGCTCCGCCCTAACCTGCTGTCCTGCTTCGCATCTGAGCTGGAGCCGACTCAGTTCTCCTGCAGCTTCTCCATCAGTTCACATGGCTGGATCCAGAAGTTCAGCAGCACCTTCTGATTGTTTTCAACGTGCCCTTAGGAACCGACCCAACCCGTTTAACTCATCCAGAACTTTGGATCAAATTGAGGTTCTCCAAAGCATTGATTGTTGCTCTAGTGTGACGTCTTCTCTGGTTCCACCTGCAGAGACCCGGACACGCTCCACATCTGGACCCGACCTGAGGTTCTGAGACCGATGCTGCTCAGTGTGAGCGACCAGCCGAGTCAGAATGAAAATCTTTAGACTTTGGTTCCCAGGATTAGGATTAGAGATTTAATCAGCCTCACATCAACAAAATGACTTTTAACAGAAATTTGGAAACATTTTATTGGTTCAGAAAACCTCCTGACGCTCCGATTGGACAATAACAACAGTGTCACAGATCCAACCGTCCAATCAGAGAGCAGAGTATCTGGTTGCCTTAACTTGAGGAGCAGAGAGCGGCCGGGTTCTGGAGCTGCCCAGAGGTCTGGTTCTGTCTCCTCCTGAAGACCCGGACCAGAACCTTGCAGGTGTTCTGTAAATACATGTCGATGGTCACTGTTTGCACGTCAGTGAGCTAGCTAGCATGTGGCGCTCCGCCTCTTCTAAAGTGCACTTTGTCACACCAGCCTGGTTCTGGTTCTAGTAGAACCACTGGGCCGCCTCTGGATCTGGTTCTGGAGGAGTCCAGATCCCCGCAGGCCGCTCCAGCTCCAGAGTTTAGCAGGAACCTTTGTCCTGCTGATGAATCTTCAGATTTTCATTGTCGTGGTTCTGGATGTCGGTGCGGAGGTCCAGATCGGCCCATAATTGACGAATGTACAGGAAGTTCTGATCCGGTACTGAAGCGGACCGTAGGCGGCGCTGCCTCGCTGCTCCTCCTCCTGGCCTCTCTCTGTTTGATGCCACGCTGAACCTGGTCACTCTTTGTTTTGCTGCGATATTTATATATTTTATTTGATCAGGTTTTATTTTCTTGTTCTGATGATGAAGATGATGAAGAACTGTACAGATGCTCTTTAAATCCTGTCAGATTTTCAGCGAAGTAAAGAAATAAACAGACTGAAAATAAAACTTCCCATTTCCTCTTTCTGATCGGTTTAATTCTTTCTGTCGTCTTCTCAGCACTGCTGACATCGTTTTATAACTTCCCAGGTTTAAATAATCCAATAAAACGGATCAGAACCCTGGCCCAATTACCTGGTTTCTGATACAGAGAAGCAGCAGCATGGAGACCCAACAGACCGGCACCATCCAAGGGATTTAAAAGCTGTGCTGCGTCTCCTCAGAAGTCAGTTAACATTAGTGACTCAATTTGAGGTTCTGCATCTCTTCCGCTCCAGTTCTGACCTGCATTATTACTCTAATCCGACCCAGAGGGATTATGTGGTCGTTTGGGTTCCAGCTGATGAAACCCAAAGTTCTGCTAGAACCACAGCTGCATCCACCCATCCATCCATCCACCCATCTGATCATCCATCCATCCATCTGATCATCCATCCACCCATCCATCCATCTGATCATCCATCCATCCATCCACTCATCCACCCATCCATCCATCTGATCATCAATCCATCCATCCATCCATCTGATTATCCATCCACCCATCAAACCATCTGATCATCCATCCACTCATCCACCCATCCATCCATCTGATCATCCATCCATCCATCCACTCATCCACCCATCCATCCATCTGATCATCAATCCATCCATCCATCCATCCACCCATCCAGCTGATCATCCATCCATTCATCTGATCATCCATCCATCCATCCACCCATCCATCTGATTATCCATCCATCCACCCATCCATCCATCTGATCATCCATCCATTCATCTGATCATCCATCCATC